CTGGGACTGAGCCCCACAGACTCCCTGCAGAGCAGGGAGTCTGCTTCTCCCTTTCCCTCTGCCCTTCCCCCTGTTTGTGCTCTCTCTTTAGCTCTCTCTCTCTCTCAAATAAATAAAAATAAAATAAAATAAAATAAAAATAAAGCAAGGCTTTCTGCCTAGTAAACTTACTTATTAGCTTTTCCCCCCAAATATATGATTTGCATAATAAAAGACATTAAAAATAAGATTTAGAAGAAAATCTGGAACTTGGATCTACTGATGAAGAAAAAATGTTTTAATTTCCATCTTGCCTCTCATTTTATTTTTATTTTTTATTTATTTTTTTAAATAAATCTTTTTTTTTTTAAGATTTTATTTATTTATTTATCAGAAACACACAGAGAGAGGCAGAGACATAGGCAGAGGGAAAAGCAGGCTTCCTGTGGGAAGCCTGATTTAGAACTCAATTCTAGGACCCCGGGATCATAACCTGAACCCAAGGCAGATGCTCAACCCCTGAGCCACCCAGGTGTCCCTCATTTGATTTTTAGTATGGTTAGAATTTACCAGCTGATTGGTGGGAACTTGGAAAGGTTAGATTAGATTCTCCAGTGACTGGACTCACCCTGTAATTGGACTTAGATAAGGAAATGGTGGGCTCATTAGAGCTAAGTATAGATTTCTAGATTGTCTAAAATGATAGACAAAAATAATAAAAATCTATCTCAACCTTTGTTTGGAAGGAAGGGAGTCAATAGGCTAATTCTTTAGGAAATGCTTCTGGAGATGTACTCCATGGAGACTATTCCTCATTTGAGAATGCCATCAGCTGAATTATCAAAAATTGGGGAAATAGAAAGAGAACATAGAAAAACATATAGTGGTCATAGCCAGAAGGTTTTTCAATATCTTGGTGATGTATTAGGGTCAAAGTGGATCAGACCTTGGTAATCATGTTTATATTTGTTTTCCTAAAGAAAATCACTTAATAAAAAAATGAGTAAAATATTATGATTAAATTATGATGACCACAGGGATGGCTTCCAATGCTATGTCTGAAGGAGAGATTTGTATTGTTGCTTTGATGGGCTTCAGGAAGAGCCCAGAAATCTCTATTCTGACACTTGTTTAGAAAGGGGGTTATTGAGGGAGATCAATTACCTTTTTCTGAGATTGAATAGAGAGATAATTATGAAGGATGAAGATCCATGATAGGCATCAGAATTAGTTAAGCAAGCTCATATTATGGGCACATTTTAATAAGATAAACCCTTACAGTTCTATTCTATCTTCTCTAGTCAGTCAACTATTCATTCATTTTATTATACCTTTATTCAATATTTCCTAAGCACCTTCCATGGGCTGAGGAGATACTGATAAATGAGACAGTCTAGCTACCCATCAATTCCTTTCCTGGTCTACCAGCAGTTTAAATAAATTTCATTGTTCAGTTTTGCTATCTTCATTTGCTCTCAAGTGTTTGTATGTATGTTCTTTAGTGTTTACTTTCAATATTTATCCTTCTATCCATTAATTCCACAAAAATGTGTCAAACACAGGCCATACATTTGTATATAATAGTTAGAAGATAGAAATTATAACCATTCCTTTGTAGCTCCTACCCTAGAAGGGGGAATAGGTAAGGAAGCAAGCAGTTATGATTCTGTGTTATAAGTCCTGATGGGGACTCAGTATGCTGTAAGTGGTATGTGTGCAGAGAGAGTGAGCTCACTTAGATCTGAACTGGGCAGGAGTCCTATTATTCTACTGAGAGTAGATGACTTCTAAGCTGAAAATGGAGGATTGTGCTTTTATATTAGGTACAGGATAAGTGACTAATTATGACCTTCTGCTTTAAATGAAAATACCCCCAATATCAAGTCAACATTTCATATTGTCTTCTTATTTCTATTTTAATCACTAACTGTATGCACTAGGGAATAGGAGTCATTCTGGGTTTAATCACTAACTGTATGCACTAGGGAATAGGAGTCATTCTGGGTTGGTAGCTTCTATCAGCACAGATTAAGACTATCCTCCCATGCTTTTTCTCCCTCCTCCCTCACTCTCATGAATCAGTGCATTTAATGATGTGCTTTTACTTCATTGGATGTATATTACAAGTCATTCTTCCTTGTGTATAAGAGTGATAAGAATATCTGTAATTTCAGAAAATACACAAAATTATCATTATTTTCTACTTTATTACTGAAATCTTAGACCAGACTTTCCATGAAATATTTCCGTCAAAGGGCCACTTGGTTGTTTTTTCAGTCTGTTTGTCTCTGCTTGCCTTCTTCTGGGCATTCATGATGTGTGAAAACCTGTATGACTAGATCTGCTGTAAATGCACTGCTGTACCTTTCTTCATATGAGCAAGTGGTCCCTAGGTAGAATCAACATTTATTTAGGTCCAATTAAAACCAATGACAGTGTCAATGGCCTTTGGAAGCAGATATATCTTAATACAAGATATCAAGATGGCTCTGATTTGAAGGAAACAGGAAACAAGCAAACCACTGTGAAAGTCACAACCTCGGAAATCTTTGCTTTAATGAAAATCAACCCATATGGCCTGTAGTGTCTGGTGGTCACTCCAAGTGACTTATTAATTGGCTGTTCTCTGAATTGGTAGGACTCTAGATGAAAAGACAACTTTAAATTGTACTTTTTGGTCTGTTTTATTTAATCTATATTTAAATGCTTGGGACAGTGCTTATAGGAGGAGCTTAGTAAATATTTGTCATATGTGAATAAATATTCTATAGCTTTGCAGAGAATTTGGTTTTATATTAAGTCAGAAGTTTCTAGTTTGTTTTGCCTATAATCATTTATTTATGCATTATATAGATAAATTCATAATAATCCTGCCTTCCTGCAATCCCTCTGAGGGTAAATACTAAGGCTTTTAATATCTAATAACTCACCATAGTCCTTGGCCTATTATATACCATTAAAAACAACAACAACAACAACGGCCCCAAATGGAGTTACTTTTGCTAAGCCTCACCAAGACTTAACACCTAACCTACCTGAAGTTTTAGCTTTGCCCAAGTGTGAAATTATATAGCCTGGAATTTCCCAATCAGTACTAGTGAGGTAATCTGCATAAGTTATACCCCCTGCCCTTCCCAATGAGGGAAGGTGATCTTGCCTGAAACAATTCTTTTTCTTTTTCTTTTATTTTTTCCCTTTTTCTTTTTAAAATAAGCTCTTTGTCCTGCCCTTTTAATTTTGTACAAATCCTCAGAGCTCCCTTCTGTTTGCTAGATGGGATGCTGCCCAATTCAGGAATCACTGAGTAAAGCTTATTAGATCTTCACATTTATTTAGTTGGATTGTGTTTTTTAAATAATACCAATATGAGAAAAATACCAAAGGCATGTGTTATTGATGGTGAACAGCAACAAATTACATTTTTATATTGTGATACAACATCTCTCACGTGCTTATTGTGATCCTAGTATCCATTCTTGACAAAGGCAGAGCCAGTGGTGGTGTTCTTAGTGTGAGAAAACTGACGTCAGATGTTGAATGGGCTTACCATAGGTTTCATGGCCTGCAGGTAGAAGGAGGAAGAGTAGGACCCAAGACCTCTGCCTCTGTCTTCAGTTTTTCTGCTATTATAATCAAACTAGCATGAATTTCCTCCTTGGTGATTACAGATAGAGATTACACCAGGTGCAGTTGTCACACAAAGGAAACTTTACCTATACCTGCATTCTATGTTATATTAATGAAGCTTATGATCCTTTTAGGACAGAGACTTCAACATCATAATGAGGCAGAGGTAAAGGCTGGACAAGGGGAAGGGGCTATGGGCATGCTCTGAGAACCAGTGTAAACTGGATAAGGTCTATGGCTCATTATCTTGGGTAAGAATTATAGGATTTTGTTTACCTTTGAAACAGCACTGAGAATTTTACCACTGATTTATTGTCTCTGTCATGGTTAGGCTATTTCCTGGCCTGGTAGAGCTGGTTGGTTTTTGTATTCTCTTTGTTCCCTCAAAATCCTTAGCCACTGAGGTTTTCACATTTCTCTGTAATTCTGACACCTCTTAGGAAGTTCTGCAAGAAGTGTGCTTAGATAAATAGATACTGTAGGGCATACATGGAGGAAAACATTTGGGAGCCTAAAATGACTTTTCTTGTATCAGGAATGGTAGATCTCTTTCTTTTTCTGGGGATCCCTAATTCTTTCTGCTGACACTATCCTGCACTATGTTTTTTTCTATCTGAAAGGTAGGTTATTAAGGTTAGTAAAACACACACCTGAATTTATATGTTTTGTAGAAGTAGTGTTGAGGGAAGATACTTACGTGATCACAAATTTAAGTACTATATTCCAATTTTGGCTGGAGGAGCTATTCCATAAGGAGCACTTGCTTTTTATGGACTTTATTTTCCTCATTTGTAAAGTAGGAAGGGTGGAGTCTCTGAACCTTGATGTACATCATAACTATATCACACCATTATTTTATTCTGCTTCTGTTTACATTTCTTCCTAGTGGTGAAGGTCCAAAAGCCATTTGTGTTTCAGGGATTACTGAAGATATTGAATTGGATTCATTTTTTAAAATCCAAATAGAAATGGATGGATATGATAGGTTAAGTGAGAAAGATAGGAGGCAGCCAGTTCAGGTTCAAAGATGTGTATCTAAGACATTGAAGAAGATGGAGAGGATTTTTCATGAGGGGAAACTAAATTATTATTATCATGACCTATAATTATGATTCTGCTGTTATAAGTGTTAACTTTCATTATTACTATTATTATTATTATTATCATGGGTTGTAAGTCCCTCCCTTTATCTCCAGCCTCATCTGATCTACTAAGATGTTGAACCTGCCATGCAATAAACAGCAATACAGCAAAATTTTATGCACATCATTTGTGGTTTATTAGGCTATTGCTCAGCAAATATTCACTCTATTTTCTCCAACTCCATGTGAGATAGATCTACTCCCCTGCCCCTGGACTTTGCATATGACCATATGACTTGCTTCCTCCAATAGGATGTTAACAGATGCTGATGCAGTTGGACTATGTCCTTGAGCTTCTGCCATCACCATGAAAACAAGTCCTAGCCGCCAAAAGATTGAGAGCCACATGAATCAAACCTAAATCGAGCCTACAACCTGGAGCCAAGCCCAGGCAAGGCCAGGTGAGCTCAGAAGGAGATTTCCACTTGGGTAAGAAGACTGAGAGGGCATATGTCATTAAAATAATACCTCTTTCAAAGTCTTGTTGATGTGAGAATAAAATTCATCACCATGAGAATAGTTTAGCTATGATACATTTTATGAGTGGAGTTTATTTAACCCTCTGAGATGTTTTATGATCAGAACTAGAACTCAGAGTGTTGCCTTGGACCTTTTATTTTAAAAAGGAAAGGGTTGAATGGAAGTGGCTGTCAGGGCACATAACATTGGCTCTTAATCTAGTGACTTGATAGAGTCATTGCATTCCACATGGTACTCAATGTTCCACAGCAGAGTGTGTTTGTTTAAAGAGCATCTCACAAGAGTAGTGGACTTAGACATAGTATCTTGAGACAGTCTTTGAGTTTAGTCTAGTGTACATTCAGAGGCAGTTCTGAACTGTGGAGAATATTTATTCTTATACACAAGTGAAATTAGTAGGTCATAGTTGTAGATAATCTGTGTGCTTAAGTGTTGCAAAACCTACAGACATAGATAGACAGGGTAGGACCAGAATAGCAATATTGGCTTTGTCTTTTACTGTACTGGCATAATTCACTTTTATTAGGATTGTGTTTGGCATATGAGAGGACTAAGGTTTAGTTCTTTCCCAGTAGCTATATAGGTTATTAGTGGTTGTAGGAAAGGATATTACCTCTGTATTCAAAAGGACATGCGCCTGGTGTCCTTTCAAGCTTAAAAATGAGCTGAAGATGCTTTTAATATGTGAACACCTTTTCTCATTTCATATTGGTAGAAAATAGATCTTGATATGTATATATATATATATTTTTTGAGAGCTCTGAACCATTCATTATGATGCAAGAAGCTTTTTCCACAGATTATTCCACAATTTTTTTTTTTTTAAGAGAGAGCACCAGAGAGCATGTGCACATGCACAAGTCAGGGGAGGGGCCAAGGGGGAGAATCTTCAAGCAGACTACCCACTGAGCATGGAGCCCAACTTGGGGCTCAGTCTCATGACCTGAGCCGAAACCAAGAGTTGGACACTTAACTGAACCACCCACATACCCCTATTCAACAATTTTTTTTATAGATAGTCTACCATGTGCCAATTACTGAGAATTACATTAATAAGTTGGTTATTATTTTAAATATCTGATAATATAAATGGAGAATAAAGTTAGAAGACAATTAGAGGACAGCATGATAAATCCCAGGATAAGGATTCTTTGCATACTCCTTCAGTACCCAGGATCATCCAACCTAGTCTTGGAGGTAGACAAGGAAAGCTTCCCAAAGGAAGTAGTTTCTAGTGATGAATGATTAGGAGTTATGTTTCATGGAGGGAAGTAATTTGAAGAGAGTTTTTTTTTTTTTTTTTAGGTAGAAAGTCCTTAAAAAGGGCAGCCCCGGTGGAGTAGCGGTTTAGCGCCGCCTGCAGCCCGGAATTTGATCCTGGGGACCCTGGATCAAGTCCCACATCAGGCTCCCTGCATGGAGCTTGCTTCTACCTCTGCCTGTGCCTCTGCCTCTCTCTCTCTCTCTCTCTGTCTCTATGAATAAATAAAATCATTAAAAAAAAAAGTCCTTAAAAAGCCTTTGGTGATAGCATGAGGTTCGAGTCACTGTCAGCTGGAACCAGAGTCATCAGCTGAATGGGTTCCTCTAACCAAATTAGGCAAGCCAAAACCCCATGGTAAAAGCACTATACCAAAATGAGAAAGCCTTCAGCCTCACATACAGAACTGCATTTGTTGCTCTCCTGAAATGTTATGATCAGTTCTGGTCAATTGAAACTAACAGATTATAAAGAGAAGACACAAAGACAGGTATCTGAGTCACCTAAGTCACCTAAGACATCTGAGTCAGTGTAGTGCTTTTGTATGAGTGAAAACCAAAGAAATCGGGATTTCCAGTTGGGAAAAATGAAAGCTTAGAGGACATGTGATCAAAATTAACGAAATAAAAAAGGAGGAAGTCAAAAGCCCTGCTGGTTCTTTCTGTACCTCCTAGTTACCATGTGATAAATTGATTCATCTCTGGGGGCCTCAGTTCTACATCTGTACAAAAAAGGCACCAGAATAGTGAATTTTTGTAGTGGTATTTGGCCTGGGGGCTTTTACTACTAACAACCAGCACCTCTTTGTTTAAGGCCTGTCCTCAGGCTTCCAGAATCTGCTTGCTTTGAATACATGGAGAGTAAGAAATAGGTGGGAATTTAGTCATCCCTCACCCCAAAGTAACCCTTAACCCCAATATGATAGGTGGGGGGTAAAAATACTTCAGGTCCCTTGCCTCCTACTGGTGACCTCATCCTCCTCAACCCTGGGTTGAGCCAATATCACCCTTTGTGAAGTTTTGCTTGATATTGTACCCTTTACTTCTTTCTCTGTGCAATGCTATCTCCCACTACTCTTGTTCTACCGCCTGGTCTAATTTAGATAGTAGCTTTGGTATTCTTTAAGATCTTTAATATTTGTTTATTTACATACACTAAACACATATTTGTGGCAGATGAAAAGAAAAGAAATAAATACATATTTGTGGCAGATGAAATGAGAAGAAAAATAAATATATATTTGTGGCAGATGAGAAGTATCTTATGCTTAATATTGTTTAGAATCACTATTAACATATAAACATACCCACTAATTAATTTATTAAGTGCTCACTAATTCCATAACTGATATTTTTATTTTATTTATTTATTTATTTATTTATTTATTTATTTATTTATTTATTTATTTATTTTTCCATAACTGATATTTTACATGTTTGCATTCTGTAAAGATCTTTGGTGTACTGTTATATAGGTATCTGAGCATTTTAGTGATATTTAGGGAAGTATGTTGGGGATTTTTGATGGGCTAGGAACACATCCTTTATTTTTTTCATTCAAAATAATTGAATAGAATCTCCAACTATCTGGAAATTCACTGTAAAATACATTTCCAGGAATGGATTAGATTTAAATAAACTATCTTGCAAAAATTCCCTTGGGTTGCAATGAGCTTGAACTAATTAAACCCTGATAATCTGAAATTCTGTGTAGATGTTAGTAGCTACCAAATAAAATCACATATTCACTATGCCTGGTTTTTCTTTGAAATAGACTCAGTTAAAATATAACCTATTTGTAAGAAGTATATCAAAGTCCAAAAAAAGAGATGCTACTATGGGATTGTTAGGATCAGATTTTAAATAGAAACTGAAATATATTATTTACCGTGAAGCCTAAGTTTTGGTTAGAAACAACTCTAAGGCTTCACTTTTTTGAAGTCAGAATTAATGAACATGGAGCATTTGTATATATATGTGATTCTTATATTAGAATGCTTAGGGCATAAGGCCTGAATTATTTTGAGGGATCTTCATACTTCTTGTGATTGGAACATAGAAGCCTGGGAGAATTTTGCCCTTTAGTAGTTGGGTATTTTTTTGGGCACTTAGAACTCTGATCTTGCAGTATTTTCTCCACTTCCCACTACAGCTAAAGAGTAGATGCTGAATGGCAAGATTCCAAAGTTCTATAGCCCTATAGATAGTATATGAGGGCCTATCTTGGTTTGACTAACTGTCCTACTCAAGAGAAGGACTGTTTGAACCCAAGGGGATGACTCCACAAGTTCTCCATCTCTCAGCCTCTCTGCTTGCGTGTGCTCTCTGCTGGGGTTTGCCTCCAGATCTGTTGCTATATTGGTATGCTCTACTATTTCTAGATTCATTTTTTGTTCTATCAGTTTCCTGTGGAGCTGAGGAATTCATATTAATTTGCTGCACCAGCAAAGTTTTCAAAATGAAGAATTCTTTCTCTTGTTGAAGCTCTACCTGATTGCAGTTCCGAGATCTCTATGCCAGATTCAGTATGCTAAACCTCAAGGGGGCTAATTGCTAGTCATTTATTTACTCATTCATTTATTCAGTAAGCCAATAAACCAGTAAACATTTATTTAACAATTATTTTGTGTTTGGTACTGGGGACAAACTCTGACTTCAAGGAACTGATAGACTCAGCTAAGGTAATAATACTTATACTAGTCCATGTGTATTTTCAATTTTCCTAATATTATTTTGGACATTTGTCTCCTAGAAGAGTACTTATAATGGAGTTAATTGCAAGACACCCCAATTGTCTCTTGATTTTTGAATGTTAAGGCCTTTGCTTAATGAATTAGAATGTTGAGGGACCCCAGTGCTTTTGTGACTCTAGAATTTATATTCTAGAGTCAGATGACTTTATCATTGTATTTAAAATTAAGGAATTAATTGAAGCCATCAGAGAGGAGTATCTCATATTTAGACTGCCTGTGAATGGCTCTAGCTTAGGGATAGGCTATCTCCTTAAATGGCTTAAAAAGGTTAAAAAAAGTATGTACAGCATATAATTTATTTTTTCAGTTTAGGGAAAACTATATATATATAGTTTTGTTTTAGGCTCCCTTTGTTCTTTCCAACTAAGATGAGAATTAAAAAAAGAATTAACACATTATCTAGAATCAATTTTAAATTGCAGGACAGAAAAGGCAATTTTCTCATTATCTTCTATAGTCAGAGTAAATCTCTTCTTTGATGCTTTGAGGTAAAATCTGAGTAAGAACACAGCCATACAAATACAAAATATGTGATTTTTGTCTAGTTTCTAGAAAGTATAGGTTTTCCAGGAGACCATGGAAAAGACTAATTGACCTAGAAATTGAGAAATATGTCAATATGATCTTCTTATTGGACCATAGGGTAGGGTCAGATCATACACTCACTATTCCTATTGCACGTCTGCATTAAGTTTGGGTAAGAGAAAAGAACAAAGAGGGGATTGGCAATCTGGAAGAGAAAGAAGGAAAGTGTTTCTTCTTGTTTTTTCTAAATGAGGTTGAAAGTCAATTGGGCCAATTCTGAGGTTCTGGAAGGCTTTGGTGGAAGGGAATGACCCTTCCTTGGCCAGATAAGGCAGATCTGGAATGAGGCAGGAAGCTGGTCTTTGAGAACTTATTATGCAAGGTCTGGTGTGTCAAAGAGGGGAGGTGAAACTGAACTCATTGGTGTCAACAAGATGTCAATAAGGCTCTTGTCTACCAGTGTTAACATAACTTAGTTACTTGCTTCAGGAAACCTTTGCCTGGGAAAGATAACACCAATAAATAACCTATTTGCTTCAGGAAATTCCTACTGATCAGTTTATCCGAGCCCACACTCTGCTTACCTGGGCAAATAGCTTGCTTATCAAACAATAATTTACTTAGCAAGATCCACTTCCAGACACTCACCTCTGCATTCACCAACCCTAAACTATTATATCACAGACATTGCTCAATCCCAGTCAGTCCCCCACCTCAAAGGTTGGCCTTAAACCTCTGAGCCCAGATCCTAATGCCCTATTAATACCCTACCTTTGATTTCCTCCTCCTAAGACACTAGTAAGCCTCTGTCAGGATGATATTTTTCCTTACTGCTTTGAACTTGAATCAACTTTGCTTTGCTTTTTACCAGATTGTGGACATTTTGGGGAGTTCAGCAGAGGCCTTTGCCTGTCCTTGCTATGGAATAGGACAGGAAGACCAGATTCCCCTCAGACAAAGTTGGGAGCAGTGGCAGTAAGGGGCAGAGGATGGCTATGTCATATGCTTATTGATAGGTCATGGGCAGTAGAAGCCCCATGATAAAGATAGCAGAAGGGGAGAATTGGAGTAGGGGGCTTGTCTCTGAGTGCACAGACGGCAGGCAGCATTCAGGGACATTATTAGAAATGGCTGAAAGTTGTTTGGAGTAGTTGTCTGCTGTATGGGTAGTAGCCGATTTCTGGTGATTGAGAAAGGACTTTGGTGTAAAAGTTTGGCTGTGCAAAAACAAGTGTGATTTCATTTTGTAATCTATTGTAGGCCAAGGAGGCCAGGGACATATTGGTTATATAAAATCATTGGCTTATGATTGGAGCATTTTCTTCCCTATATAAATTATGACTTACATTTCTTTCATTTAATGGGTTCTGTATGTATTTTGGAAATGCAAAATGAAAATCTTTCAGCATGGGGTCATTCAGACGGCACTAGAAATCAAAGTACATATACAATATTTGAAAAAAAGAAGATCTGTAAATTGCATTTAGGCATTTTTATTTGCTTAGTAGAAAATTAAATCCAATATGCAAAAATTGACTGTACTCTGCTTGCAATAAGCAGATTTTTTAAACACAGAAGCAGTAATAGGCAAAATGGTAATAAAAAAAGTCCCAAAGTATCTCTTTCTGCATACTTAGTAGTAGTATTAAAAGCCAGAATCCAAACAAAATTTGAAATATTCACAGTGAAATTATATTTTAAGTTAAGCTAGTCACAATTTTCACATCAGCATGAAGATTATTGGATCATTTGTTGCCAAACTCCACCCTCTGTGGTCTTTGAAGGTTAAAGCTCAAGTTTGCAGAAGGCTAGGGATTTATTTGAAGCCTTCAAGTCACCTTGTTTCCAAGGCATGTCCTTTTATTATTGATCATAGACATGAGTTGGATAAAGGACAAATTTTCATGATTTGGTAACAAGTGTTTAATTCAAAATGATAGATGGTTTTCTCATCCCTGTTTTCTCTCTGGGTTAGTTCTGGGCTTGAGCAAGTTGATAGATAAATAAATC